ATCACACCAGAGCTTCACATCTCTCTCCACTGATTTTTATCTCTTTGATTCTGGCAATCATTCCTTGATTTAATGACTATTACTAAAGTTGAGAAACTTTCTGAAGGAGAATAAAAAAACCTAAAAGGAAGGCCAAACTGTCATTGGTCCCTAGAGACCAATTAATGAAAAGCCATTCACACTAAAGTATGTGTGGGTTCAATAAAAATGTATTGAACTTTAAAGTTAATGGAGCAAAAATTAAGATCAGAGCCTCCATTTCTTGATAACAACAGTTTCCTAAGTCATTTAATTAATGGTTTCTCCTAAGGGGAAAAATGAGTCCCAGTATTATAGTAGCAAGAGATTTACCAAATTAGACATAGAAAAGAAACGCATTAAGTTCCTGGAAGGCTTGTCTTAGCGTCACTTCTTTGGAATTAGGGAAAGAATGTTCATAGATGCATGATTTTTAAACATCACAGATATCCCCAGTGCAAACGTAAAAAGGAGAGTGCCTTTCTTATTCCCTATAACATGCAACTAAAACTCAACTGAACATCACGATTTAAATGTTTGTGACTTCAGAACCTCTATTTATTCTCCAGGATGCTTCCAATCATTTCCCAAATACTCTGATAAGAACTGGAGAAACAGAGCTGGCTAAACCATAATCCCCGTCCTTAGTGAGCCCGTAGGGTTCTTGGAGAGACAGGTCGACCGATGATTACAATATAATGTAGGGATTGTACTAGAAAGATATGTATTTAGTGAGTGGGTATTGCTATCACAGAAGGGTCATATGTATTAAGAAAACAGGTTAAGCTATGCTTGTCATTAAAAAAATAAGAATAGTGCTAAGTGCAAAGCTCAATAGCTTAACATAGCAAAGGTCTATTTCTCACTGCAGCTATGTCTCATGGGGGTCTGGGCAACTCTGCAGGGCACCTGGTCAGACACTGAGGCTGCAATCTCGTGGCTCAGACGTCTCAACACTAGGCTATGCCAGTTGCCACAGCAGGTAGAGGGGCTGGAAAATCTCCGACAGGCGTGCTCTGGACTGAACTGTGGTCCCCGCACCCCACCCCTCTAATTCATAGGCTTCATTTGGACCTAGGGCATTTCTGGAGGTAATTAGGCTAACAGATCAGAAAGGTGGGGCTTTACCCACAGGGGTAGTGTCCTTAGAAGAAGAGCTACCAGAAAACGTGTTTCTCTCCTCCCCTCTCCACCATGTGAAGGCACAGCGAACAGGGGGCTGTCTGCAAGCTGGGATAAGGGTCCCCACAAGGCACCTTTTCAGCCGGCACCTGGACCTTGGACTTTCCAGCCCCCAGAACTACAAGGCAGCACACAATTCCCTTTCTGTGGGAGCAGCCGCCCATCTACGGCGTTTGGTTAGGGCAACCCAAGGCGACTAACACAAGACGTCAAGTCTTCGGCACAGGGGCAATGCATGTCGCTTCCACCAGCAGCCCAGCGTGCAGAACAGGTCGCATGTGGCCCCAGCCAACTGGAGGAGAGCAGGTCAATGCAGGGCAGAAGGTGGAATGTTCGGTAAGGCGACCCTCTCTGCCAAGTCTTCTCCTCCGGCCAGCAAAGGCCCCTCTTCTCCCTCTGTCTTTCCCTGCAACCCTTCCCCAGGAAGACAGACCCCAGGCCGCCACCCAGCTACTGTTCTAACTCAGGGTCCAGAATCCAGGTGGTGCGCAGCCGCACCCACACCCGTGCAGACGGGACATCTCTCGCTTCCGAAAGAATGACGTAAGAGGAATGTCCTGCCGTTGCCCACCCTGGGCCCATGCAGACGTTTCCTCCAGAGGAGTGACCAAGGTCTGTTCCACCTGCTCATCTGCAGCGGCACTTACCAATGGACTGAATAAAGCCTGTCGGGGAAAAAGCATTTTGCTAGATCTAATTTTATGACTTCCTAGCGCACGCAGTAAATATAAACCACGGCCCCAAACTGCTACCGAAGGCTGCACCCGCGCAAAGAACTTTCACTCCCGTGACCCAGGCATGACGCACACGCCTGCCCTTGGTGCCCTTCAGCCGGGTGAGCTGGTCTGGGTGTACACAACAGATGCACAAAGCAACGGCCAATGTCCCCATTACTGATGGGCAAAGAACACCCACGATGCAGTGAAGGAAAAAGTACGAATGAACAGTATACCCAAGAACAAGCCTCTAATCACAAGCTTTTAGCTTGGTTCCTTTTGCCACGTTTTCGGTATTTCTGGCTGAGGATATATCTTTGCAGAGCTCTCTAGGAAGAGAGTTCTTCAGACCTAAGCAGAAGCTTCATTCAGAAACTAGGAAAGAACAAATCATATACATTCCGAGGGACCGTCGGGGGTTACGCTTCCGCGGTGCCCACTGTGGCAGTGCTGTGATGTGAGCCTGGCACCGTCACGCGCTCAGCACCCCCTCTGCGGTGCCCACTGTGGCAGTGCTGTGATGTGAGCCTTGCACGGTCACGCGCTCAGCACCCCCTCTGCGGTGCCCACTGTGGCAGTGCTGTGATGTGAGCCTGGCACGGTCACGCGCTCAGCACCCCTCTGCGGTGCCCACTGTGGCAGTGCTGTGATGTGAGCCTGGCACGGTCACGCGCTCAGCACCCCTCTGCGGTGCCCACTGTGGCAGTGCTGTGATGTGAGCCTGGCACGGTCACGCGCTCAGCACCCCCTCTGCGGTGCCCACTGTGGCAGTGCTGTGATGTGAGCCTGGCACGGTCACGTGCTCCGCACCCCCTCTGCGGTGCCCACTGTGGCAGTGCTGTGATGTGAGCCTGGCACGGTCACGCGCTCAGCACCCCCTCTGCGGTGCCCACTGTGGCAGTGCTGTGATGTGAGCCTGGCACGGTCACGCGCTCAGCACCCCCTCTGCGGTGCCCACTGTGGCAGTGCTGTGATGTGCGCCTTGCATGGTCACGCACCCAGCACCCCTCTGCGGTGCCCACTGTGGCAGTGCTGTGATGTGAGCCTGGCACGGTCACGCGCTCAGCACCCCTCCACACACCGGCGGAGGAGAGATTACACTTCTCTGTGCAAAGATGAAGCTGAAGGCCAGAGGGCCCCGTGGCACAAGGTCCACTATTAGAAGAGGCCTAGCTGTGCTTTAAACCTCGTTTTCTCTGATTCCCAGGGCATATGGGAGTGTGGGTGTCGACATCATTTCTAGACATGAAGGTATTTGTTCTATAAGCAGTTTTTCTGCCAAACAACCACAACAATACAAAACACAACAAAGAAAAATTGTCTTCTAAACCAAAAAAGGTAAGCAAAACTAGAAACCCAACCAAAGGCAAAAACCTTGAAGATTGTGGAACTTGTCTCTCCTGATAGATTGATATTTTTTTCATGTATCTTAACATTTTAAAAAATCATCAAGATCACAGGAAACCAATTAACATTAAATGTCAGAGAAGCCAAATTGCACATCAAGTAATTTGCTGTTCTGGTTGAGAACATCAATTTTGAACCCTGTGGAGAGCCAGTATGTCCACCTTGAAGACTTTGAAGGAGCAAAGTATAACTAATGTAGCTGGGTATGGAGTGCAGATGCTCCGTAACCACTCTAAAAGAAAAAAATAACTGCACTGTTTTTGTTTTTTTAAAATCCTAAGACACCTACTAAAATGAGGAAACAGACCAGGTAGTAAACTGTTCTACATAAAAAGAGAAAAACAGGAGTACCCAGGAGAAAGATCCAAGCAAGGAAACCCTGGTGGTAGCGTTGCTAAATGATGCAAAAGGAACCGATCTCTCTTTTATACACACATGCACTGACTTTTAAGGCCAGCAAAAAAAATAAAAGTGTCATACATTTTAGGTCAGTGACTCTCTAACCTATAATCCCGTCTTCATAACCATGTAATTTAAAATATTCATTGTCTTAATTTCCGAAGAGTTATTTCGGACCGATTGTGAGGCCCGTCAGCATCCAGCAGACAGACAGCCGCGGACTGACAGCCACTAAGAGAACGTGGGGTGGCAGAGACCATGTTACCTTAGTGCAAAGGGCTCCGGGCTTGCAAAATTACTTCTGCGCAGGTTTTTTTTTTTTTTTTTTTTCCCCCTTTGAAATTTTAAAAGACCTCTGGCCTACCCTAGATGGATGTTATTATAACATAATAACATGGTTTTGTAAGAAGAAATTCATGACATTAAAACTGCTGTATGAAGTGCAACAGCATTCCACTCTCGTTACCTTGGGATACTCCAAATTCATTTCAGGAAGTGAGAAATCACACCTCCAGGGTGAATGCTGACGCGCTAAACACCTCTCCTGTGGAGCCCCACACCCCGGTCTCGTCCTGGATGTGTAAAAGTGTCACAAAGGGCTCATAGCATAAACACATGGATTTAGTTGGGTGAAGCTCATGTCTAAACCTTGTCTGTGAGCAATGAGTGTGGGGGCAACATTCATTTCCGACATTGATGGGTTCCAGCTACACCCTGTGATCAAGAAACCACCGCATGTGCCTCACATACTAAGTTTAACTCTGAGTGACCCATCCATACATTATGGATTTGCCAACATGTGTTCAGTCCTTCTGAATTAACATTCATGCTTAACTGATGTTTCTAACATAAGCACTTGGACACAGGAGTCTTCATGAACTTGCTTTAAACCTAAAAAATAATATTAAAACTTCTTTCAAAATTGTTTGCTTATAAAACACTCACAACATAATGCCAACAAGGACCTGGTGAATTTGATGGAAATCCTACTCTACTAAAAGTATAGTAGGATACAATATAATGCTGTAACAGTACTGCAAACTATATTGTGTGATTAACATACTTATGCAACTACTCTGATGTCAGCCTAAGGGACTGAAGTCATTTTGAATAGGGTGGTGAACCTCACCATAGAATCAACACGATGTTGCTCAATTATCCACAAGAATCTGGAGAAATCGTGTGTTTGGCGAATTCTACCCTTTATACACACAGCGTTCGTCCGGGCCCTGTTGGCGGACGTGGGCGGACCTTCGGGGTCTCCCCGTCTGCGCTTACCTTCCTGACTCAAAGGTGAACCACGTGGAGTCCCGTCCATATCTCCTCAGGGAGCTGAGCGGCCACATCACCAGTTTGACCTTGGCGTTGTGGATGTCCCAGAGGTAGATATTCTCATGAGTGATCTGCATCGTGCACTCGCCGTAAATGTCCAGGTTCGGGGTGGGCATCAGGTACACGTTGAACCGCTCTGCGGAGAGACAACGGGTGGAGAACGGGCATGAGTGTGGCAGCACCGGAGGGACTTGTCCACCTACCCACAGCCCGTGGCCCTGGGGGCATCCAGACTCTGCAAAACTCGGCTTTTCCCATTCGGGGTAGGAAAAGGGGGCTCAAGTATTCTTAATCACTGACTCACTCACTCTCCGTTCTACAGCCTTTGCTGTAAGTCTTCTCTGTGGTGGGGATGCAATGGCAAAATCCTGCGGCGGAGAGAGCAGGGTCCAAACCAAGCAGGCCCCCCGTGGTGCGTGCCGTGTGCTCCCTGACGCACCGCCCGGATACCGTGGACCAGCTCCCGGGAGGAGCCGCTTGCTTAAGAGAAGCAAGAGCTGGCTCATCCTCGCCTTGGTGGCACTAAACATTCAGTGCGCACTCAGACTGGCTTTCAACACCGACTGTATTCACCGTCAGTCTCTGCGCGTGATAACTGCAGGTTTTCATTACTCCTTCTGCAGGACTTCCGATGTGGTTGTGGTAAAGCAAAAATAAAAATTCGTAACTGCTTTCATTCCTGCATACTTGGTAGTGGACCATTTGATTCACGGGCAACCGTTTCAAAGCTAGCTTTATACCTGTTTGTATACTTTAGAGCCTACCACGAAGTGCTGTAGCCCCTGACCTCCCATTTAAATGCATGCGATGCACTTTATTTTGAAAAAAGAGGTTAGTTCGTAAGTTCCAGGAAGCGAAGACCTTGGGATGACCTGTACCGTGTCCTATAAAATACCCCTATTTCCTAGCACCACGGTCTTGCTTTAAAGTAAGTGATCAATAAATATTGGTTAACTGCGTGACTAAGACAAATGCTGCCATAATAAGTAGAGGCTGCAAGAATTGAGGAATTATAAACAAATACTGAGTCATGATCACGAAGGTTTTAAGAATTACTGGCAGATAAATCTTTGTGAGTTTGAACTGAATTGTGAAGAGTTCATCAAGGGCAGTGCTGTGGAATTAATTATTTAGAAGGCACAGTGGTGCGTCTGCAGCCAGAGGACTGATACGTTCGGGGATGTGCTGTCATTATTCAGAAGCCTCGCTCTGGACACTGACTGTTTGCTTCTACTGCCGTTGGGTTGTCTGGGTAACAGGAGGAAGCTTTTCTGTGGCAGGTATTTTGCAGAATAAAGATTTATTGATGAAAAAAAAAAAATCAGATTCCAAGTGGGTTAAATTTCATGTAAGCTTGACAGCTTAAAATTTTGTAACCACAGGAACAATATTTATAATCAAGTGTCTAGATATTTTTGACTAAAATAATCTAATAATTCCATTTTCTTAACTTAGATTACCGACCCATAAAACAAATATGTATGATTTCACATCCATTTCCTAAAGACAAAATGAGATAAATTCTACAGCTGAAAAGTGAAGAACGTTGCCCTATTAATTATCTGCAATAAAAGGGACACACACACACATATATATATTCTATAAATTCAAAAATTAAACCAAAGGAGCATAATCAACGCAAGAGTATGAATGAAACGTGGACCGACGGGGGCCGCGGGAATCCAGGCACAGTCCGAACAGCAGTTCCTGTGCTTTGGCCGAGACCCTTTGAATGAAGTTCAGCTTCTACCCTGTAACTGGGCCATGTCAGGGACATCTTCTGTGTAAAGGGGAAACATTCTTATAAAAGCAGAAGGTAAAACATTCCTCTAAATGCCTTCCTTTCGCCCTGGCCGGTTTGGCTCAGCGGTTAGAGCGTCGGCCTGCGGTCCAGAGAGACCTGGGTTCGGTTCCCGCTAAGGGCATGTACCTCGGTTGCAGTTTGTCCCTGGCCCTGGTTGGTCGTGCGGGTGGCAGCCACTCGATGTGTTCCTTTCACGTTGATGTTTCTCCCTCTCTCTCTCTCCCCCTCGCTCTCCCTCTCTCCCTCTCTCTTCCTCTCTCTCCCTCCTGCTTTACCTGAACAAAAAATGGAAAATGTCCACGGGTGAGGATACAAATAAATAAATAAATTAATTAATTAATGCCTTCCTGTCCATCAGTTCCAGAGTCTGATGACAGCAACTGAAGAATCGTTGCCAAAATGCCAAGAAATAACAACACTTCTTCCAAAATTCTAAAATAAATGAACGTCGTGAACCGATTTTACATTGCTCGAGGCCGCATTGACCCTTGATATTCACACCCACAACGTGATATTTAAAATAAAAGATATAAAAAAATAATCCCGACATTGAGTGTCCTTCCGGCGGACGGTACATGAGACATTGCAGAGGGCTCAGAAGAACCACATTTTCTCGGAAGTGTCTGCATACATTCTAACGTCAGCAGATGAAACCTAGTGATAATGAGGCTGAATGAGTTCAATCATCACAGCGGACATAGGAGAAAACGGGAAAATAATAAATAAGGGAACTTAACACGATTCACACAATGTAGGGATCCAGATATTTACAAGCACATACAAAGTGACTGAACAACTTGTCCCCAAAGGGTGCCTTCCAGAGCCAGCTCTGGGCAATGGAACGCAGGTGACAGGTACCTGTGTGGCCCTTCCCCCTCGCCTGCCTTCAAAGCAACTCAGGTTAACCCTTCTTGATACGGTTTAGAATGCTCTGATCTTCCTTTTAATGCGATTTCTTGTATCTTATGGGGGGAAAAAAAAAACTATCCTAAAATATTTTATATTCAATTTTTAAATAGCCAAATCCATCTTCCCCTAATGGCTAATTTCCAAGGATTTGAGACTCAATTAAAGACGAGACTAATGTAATCCAGCAGGAAACTGGGCACACTGAGCTGAGAGCAGTGTATCAATTATCCAGTAAATTATACGTCCCCCAATCCCATCATAGTGGAAGGAACTTTCCCCACCTGCTCTGAATAATTTACTCTCTGCCCTTCGTCACGTGAACCATGCGGTGTGGCTCCAATTCGTTACGGTTCCCATAGGAAAGGCCCTTTCAATGTGGCATAGTTAGGTCTGGCTCCACAAAAACGACTTTTTAAAATGTTTACCTTTGTGAAATAATTTTATCAGGCAGGCGTTTTAAACATCTCTCTAAGCATGTCACTTTCTTATTTACGAACCTACATTTGGTTTTTACTGCCTAGTGTGGATTTTCAGGATTTCATGTGCATCAAAATGACCTAAAGGGCCTGTTTTTGTTGCTGTTGTTTTTTAACCCTCACCTGAGGATATTTCTCCACTTATCTTCAGATGGGAGCAAGGGAGGGGACTGATGTAAGAGAGACACATGCATTGGTTGCCTCCTGCACAAACCCCACCCGACCAGGGCCAGGGACCAAACCGCAAGTGAGGTACGTGCCCTTGACCAGAATTGAACCTGTGACCCTTTGGTCTGCAGGTCAATGCTGTAACCACTAAGCCAAACCGGCCAGAGCCAAAGGGCCTGTTTAAACACAGGTGGTTGGGCATCCTCCACCATCACCCAGGCTGGGGCCAGACTTACGTTTCTACTGGTTCCCAGGGGAGGCTGCTGCTGCTCTGGGGAACACACTTTGAGAACTGTCGTTTTGTGAAACTCATCTTAGAATGTTGCCAGGAAGTAGCAGCATTAACAACCACAAGGAGTGCTTTTGAAAAGTGATGCTATATTCCAGTAGAAGAAACCGGCACATCTTATTCCAAACTCTTCTCTTATCTCTGCTCAAATAAATTAATCTCATTTAATTGACTCACAACTACTTTGAAAGACATGCCAATGAGACAGAAGAAGGGAGAGAAGCATAGAGAGAAAGGAGGCGGATGAGAGGTACGCTTTACAATTCATCGAGAATTGTATATTCCAGCTATTTCTTTTCAGGTAATCAACAACAATAAAAACACCACTAAGGAGTACTAAGCAACACATTTCCATGTATCCAAAAAATTAGAAAAAGAACTAGTTATCTAAATAAAGACAATATTCTGCCAGGCTGGTGTGGCTCGGTGGTTGAGAGTTGACCCATGCACCAAGAGGTTGCCGGTTCGATTCCTGGTCAGGGCACATGCCCAGGCTGTGGGCCCGATCCCCAGTGGGGGGCATGCAGGAGGTGGCCAGTCGATGTTCTCTCTCATCGATGTTTCTGTCTCTCTCTCCCTCTTCCTTCCTCTCTCTCTCTAAAAATCAATAAAAAAATAATAATAAAAAAATAAAGATAATATTCTGAAACATGAATAAAAATTAAATAACATGAAGTCTCGTGAAGACTACTGAATGTGTGAAAAAGTAGACTTTTGAAGGGTTAAGTACAAAATACATTAGATTAAAATGTATTCACATATATGAACTACAAAATTCTAGAGTGGAAAAAAAAAATCCCAAACATATTTTTCATACTATTATATTTTGGTAAAACTTAGGTTCATATAATGGCTGACATAATGAGAAAATACAATTTTATTTTAAATGGCCTAAAACAATAACAAGGTAGAATATTTATTAAACTAATGCCCTACGAAGACTGTCACGGACTCTGCCGTTACATTTACAAGGACATGCGTACACCAGAGCCGGATGAAGAGTCCCAATGGAACAGACTGTGCCTCCAAAGACCTGCACACGGGTGACAGTCCCCACCCCAGCAACGGTCTCGAGGGAACTACCAAACACGGCGCGGTCAAATTGAATTGGACAAGGTCTGGCGAGAAAGGGCAGCGACATTCGGGAGAAATGGTCCAGGAAACGGAGCAGGGAGACCCCAGGCATGTGTGGGACACGGGCTGGGTCATCAGCCCCGAGAAGGACCGAACCTTCCGAGCTCGGCCACCGCGGTGTTAAAGGGAACAAGTTTCGGGCGGGAGCTGGTCCAAGCATAGCGGTGAGCTTGCCCGGCAGGTGGCGGTGAGTGGGGCATGTCCTTCCTGCCGCCCCGAGCAGAGGGTCAGAGATGGGCTTTCGGACACAAAGCAAAACCACCATCCAGTGAGTAGACGCTGACGGAAGAGAAAAGGTCAGTGAGCTCTTCAGCCCGTTTCTCGATATTGGAGTCACAGCTTACTACCAGCATTGG